GCCTTGTTGGACTTTGTGATGATGTGTTTTCTCCCTTTGGCTGTGATGGCTTCCCTGCCTTCTGTTCACTGCTGTAAGAAAGACCATGCCATGCTTCCCATGCCAGATACACGAGAGTGGGAAGAGGGTAGGAGAAGAGCAAGGGAGGGAGATCTTTATCGTTTTCATAGTGTGTGGTGTGTGTTGGATGTTAGAATGCAGAAAAATGGATCTGCTCATCAATAAGCAGTTGTGAGAAGAAATTGCTTATCTCATCCTTCTGGTCAGTGATAAGCCTGCAGCCATTTATCAAATGTCCACTAGAGATAAATGCTTGTTGTCATTTTCTCACTTTGAATAACATTATACCTTTCTGTGATTTTAGCTGTTTGACTCAGCCAGTATGCTTTTTTGTGTTTTTTTTTTTTAAAGAGTGGACTTAGAAGAGAAAGAATCATCTAACAAGGCTTCCCCCTTTCTTTGGCAAGCCAGCAAAATTATTGTAAAGAGCACCAATTTAATGATTTGGATTCATAAAAACAGAAGCAGCCCACTTCCTTAAAGTAGAATAAACACCAAGCAGTCTGACTTGGATTTTTAGTGGCTTTGAATTTGAGTTTGCTTCTACAGCAACACCAGCAGCATTCTCCCAGCTTGCTGACCCAAAACCTTTAGTACATTTTAGTGTCACCCTTTGGGAGACTCCTGTCTGTACCAGGTAGAGGGGGTGAGGGCCTTGTTCCCTTATCAGCAGTCTTTCTTCTAACTCTCAAAAACACAAGCTTATTTCCACAGTCCTTCAGTGAGCATGGCTGGTAGGTAACCTCCTGGAAATTTTAGTGGAGGAAGGTTTTTACACAATTTGGTATGACAGTGAATAATACCATCTCTTCATTAGCACTTGCTCTATCCCAAAGCAAAATAATTTTATTCTAGACTACTACACTTTCAACTTTCAGTATGACTGTGCCTGATCACACTGCATGGGTTATCAGCAGCAGAGCTGGAGCTTTTGGTAGTCAAATTTGGGATAATTGGAGTTTGAGGTTTCTGGAAAAACATGGCAGAAGGTTTGAGGTAGGAATACAACTGCCAGCTACAAGTACACAGGTTTATCTGCCTGGGAGTTTTTCTGTATGTCCAGAAAAGAGGTGGTAAGTGGTTCAGTTGCAACACCAAGGTGTGTGGGGTGGCCTTTTTCTGTCAGAGCTGTAAGTTTCTCTCAAGGGTGTGGATGGACTGGGGGGGTGTGTCTTTTATCTTTTTACATTCACATTCATATTTTAATTCTCAATTCTTCTCCTTCATCTCAAGGAGGCGTAGACACTCAGAGCCTTTAGTGAGGAAAAGAGGTGCTTAACTTTTAAAAATGCAGGCTGTTCTTTCTTACCTTTGCCTGAAAGGTAGATGAGAATCATACCATATATATGCAATCCTGCCCAATAGATTATCTCTAGACTCTGGTAAATTCATACTATTCCTAATGTGACAGACATCTTTGGAGGGTAAGAAGTCACTGAAGACTGCATTGGTTTGCGTGGGCTTTGCAGAGACACATCTGTCACCGTACTGTATCTTAAAGCCCTAGCTGTAACCATCCTGTTCCTGAACAAGAACATCTTCTAGCTGGGCTGTTCTCCCTTCTCCCATGGATAATCTGCTCCTGGCTAAGCAGTGGCACAGCTTTCCATCTTGTAGTCTCACAATAGGTACTTCCCTGTGAGAGAGGAGCTGCAGGCTGGAGTCCTCCTCCTGAGCAGGGACTGGCCTGGAGCTCTACTCTTGCCTGCCTGAGTGCTCCCTCTTCTCACCAGCTGGCCTGGGACAGGCAGCCTGCCTTCCCTGCCATGGTTTTAAAAGAAAGCAGCCTCACAAAGTATTTCTTGGGCATACCTGCGAGAGCTGGGTGGAGTTCTGGTGCCTTCTGGCCTCTGTCTGAATTACAGGTATTTTTTTACATGAGGAGGTGCTGGGCTTGTCCAGAGTAGGAGCCTCCAACCCTTTACTGGCACATGTGTTGAAGTACCCAGTAAAGGCTGCAATTCAAAGCAGAGGCATTGATTTATTTTAGGACCCCCAAGGCTAGGCAGAGCAGAGAACTAAGGCATCTGAATGCTTGTTTGAGCCTTAACAGGCCTGTGTTCCTGTGTGATGGCAATTTCAGCAGAATTCACTTACAGTGCTCTTACTGGGAAATGTCTGGTCAGGCTGAATTATTATGAGTTGTTGGCAGAAATCAGGACAAACCCAGTTATCCCAGCCTGGGATCCTTACAGTAACAGAGAACTGCTGAGGTGGGATACATCTGGATCATCCCAGCAAGAACTCCAAATGCTTGCTGCTTTTTTGTTTGTTTGTTTGTGGGGGGATTTTTTTTGTTTGTTTGTTTTCCTAGAAGGTAACATAGGTAAAAATAAATGTATCTGACAATACCAAATCTGCCTACACAAATCCAAAATTCTCTGGGGATATCAGCACATGAACAACATATACCAGACAAGAATTTTAAAAGGGGTGCTTTTCTACAGCAGTTTTTTAATCAGGCCCACTTCCTCCTGCTCCTTGCCTCCTCCAGATCTGGCTTTGGAATTATTTACAGCACAATGCGAACTTTTAATCATCTCTGAGATGAGAAAGTATCTCAGCTCTAAAGGGAAGATGAAATTCCATCACCTTTTGTAATGCAAATATTTTGAAATAGGGAAGACATTCCTTCTTAGCCTTTCAAAGCTAATCATGAGATGTAATTACAGTAATTTTACCACGCAGCTACAAATACAAGCACATGGAAGGCATGTGGGCAGCCCTGCATGGTTGCATGGATAACAAGGGATGGAGGATTTGTAGATCCCCAACTTCCAAACTGTGGATCAGCTCCAGCCCTGTATGCAGCAGCAACAGCTCTCAAATGCGTGACAAAAGAGATCGCGTTCCATCGTTATCCTTCTAGTGACAGGAGCCCATATTTTTTTGTGTGTGCAAAAGTTATCCACTGTTTAATTACTCCCCTCCCTCCCAGTTAAGAAACTCGGTTCCGTTCTTCATCTGAATCTGCCTGAAACCATCTTTCAGGCACTGATTATTTCTTTTCCCTTTGGTGGTAGTACAAGAAATTCCCCCTTGTTTTAGATGTCTGTGTGCAAGTATCTATACTCAGCACTTGAGTCATGTCTTAGCTTCTTATCAGCTGAGCTCCTTCAGCTTCAAATCATTACTTGTTTTCCAGTCCCTGGAGATAGTTGTGACCCTCTTTTAAACTATCCCCTTCTCTGTCCCCATTATTTCTGTATCTTTTCTGAGGTGTGGACAACAATGTGTGAATAGCCATAAACAGAGAGGTGTCTATCTAGCCTAGTGTCCTGCCTCTGGCAGCACTTCCCATAGGTGCCATGGGAAGATTAACAACACTATGATCAAGGTGCTACTTTCTTCCCTGCTACCTGCTCCAGCATCCCAAGTGATCTTCAGCTCATTGTGATACTCACATAGGCTCTTAACCTGAACCAGGATCACTTCCCATTTTCTGCTTGACGTTTCTGGTTGGATCCAGGGACTGCCTTAGCATATTTCATGCCATTGCAGTGCCTCAGAAGCTCACATTGACCTGTTGTCTGTGACATTTTTTTAGTCCTCCATGGAGTTGCAGCTTTCCAAGAGAGCTTAGTAGTTCAAGCAAACAAAACTCACTGGCTGATGGAGCCAGTACACACAATCCTCAAAGCTAACCTCTTGCCCTAGACTCTCAAATCCTTACCCAGAAAGCCCCATGTGTTGCATCCTGCACAGACTGCACCGAACTAGGATGTGGGCTTTTTCCAGAAGGAAGCACTTGCACCCTGATTTACCAGTTAACAGAGTGCAGAAGGTGAGATATTAGTAGTTGACTTGAGACTGCTTTGACATTTAACTGCTTTTCACCTCCTATTTGGAGCATAAGCTTTGCCTGCTCCCCAGAGATTATAGTACAATGGACTCCAGCCTACTGTAACATGCCTGCAGTACTGTTACCTGAAAGCTTACAATCATCAAGGCATTCTAAAAAGTGTGACAGCTACTTAAATTAAATAAAATATACTTAAATATATAGCTGGCTCCTGGATTTTTTGAGACTACCTGCATAGAAGGCTTAAAAAATAAAACCATCATTGACTGTCTTCCTAAAAGAAAACTGAGATTCCCTTTCAATAGCGTAATTATTCCAGGTGCTAAGGCTTTGAAAATAACAGCAACATTAGAGAGGAAGGAATGAGCTGGCAGTACTGACACCACTTTTGTTTCTGAGGACTTCCAAATGAATGTGAGAGAAATCTTATCGCATTCATATCTTGAGACATGCAGGTGTTTCCACACCACCACCTGTTTGCTCTGGTAGGTGCAACTCCCCTCCTCCCCACTGCTCTCCTTCATGCAGTCTTGCCCCTGAATCCAGTCTCTGCTCCTCAGCATGACAGGCACAGGCAGATGCATCCCACCTTCTTTTATCTACAGCCCTCACCTGCAGGCAAGACCTACCCCCTCATCCATGTGTATATATCCCAAAGTCAGTGCACACACACCAGATTCCACACTTGCACAAGGCATCACTTAGTATCCTGGAAACAGGACAAGGCACAGAGGGTCCATATTGTCCAGGCACTTAAGGTGCCCAGTTCCTTTGGAAGAGAGACTTGAGCAAAATGCCTTTTGCAGCTTGCTGGGGTTTAGGAGCTGCCAGCTAGGGGAGTGTAGGTCTGAGCTGCTCTTTCCTAAACTGAGCAATTGTGATGGATTATATTTATACCTCCACTGTTCCAGCCTTTGACAAACCATCCCACACATCTGTTATATTAGAAAGCTCCAACCTAATATTTTTTTTCTAGCTGGGCATATGGGAACATGATTATATCATCTTTATTTGTTTTTCTCCATTCACTCTCACTCCTCCATTCTTCCCTCTCCCCACCATTTATCACTTAAGGATCCATTAGAATATTACACAGTGGTTTTTACTCATGGCTTACTTTTCCCCCCTTATCAAACAGATGCTTACCCCAATTCTGAAGTGATCTATGTGTGGACTAACAGCACAACAACGTCTGTGGTGGTGGCCGAAGACGGCTCACGACTTAACCAGTACCATTTGATGGGACAGACTGTGGGAACTGAAAACATCAGTACCAGTACAGGTGGGGAGCATATTTCCATTCCATGATTGCTACTAGCTGGGAGATCCACAGGCCCCAGTTATTTTGCAGGGAGGCTAGGGAAGCATCTATGGGATGTGGGCTGCTAGGGAGGTCCTGTGCAGGTTCCCAGCTCCTCAGCAGAGGCATTGAAACAGAGAGGGTGATACACTGGCTCTTTGGTACATCACAAGGCTGTTCCTGAAGATGTAGCCAAGCCCCTGCTATCAAACGGGAGCACTGGAGGAGCTGCACACACACAGCTTCTTGGCAGCTGCCTGAGCTGAGGCTGCCAGCGCTGCTGCTGCTGGCTTGTTTCCCTGTGGGAGGGACCACTGCAGGAGGCAAATGCCACCCACGCATTTGATCCATTTCAATCATCGCTTTTAAATGATTTGCTTGATGAAACTGCGTAGAGGGGGGTGGAATGGGGGTGGGATGGGGAGTGGAGGGAGCACAGGGCAGGTGGGGACTGTGGCATGGCTCTGCAGCGTGTCTGGGGCACCAGGCGGCCACAGAGGAGGTGCAAACCTGGAGGATTCCCATTTCCTCCCCGGGTTGCGAGCGGAGGCGGCAGATGTGGCAGCATTAGGGTGGCAAAGAAGCTCTAATCCCAGCCCGGGCACCCACGTGAGCTGTGTCCTGCTGCTCCTTAAGGCTGCCACGCAAGGGCAGCCCATTGGCGGGGGTGCTCCTGTGGGGGGGTTGTGGGGTGTCCAGGCTGGGACAGAGGTCACGTGCGTGGCCTCAGCAGGACGGGGGCTTAACCAGGTTACACAACGCACTCATCTGGGAAGCATTAGTGGCATCCAGTGGGAGGGCCCCTCAGCTTGGAGACAAAACAGTCTGCTCTGAGGGCAAGGGGGACTTCCACTGGCGCTGGTGGTGTGGGCCTTGGGGAGGGGGAAAGGGGCAAGGTGCAGCAATGCAGCTGGGAGCAATTCCGGCTGGCGAAGGACAACAGAGTCTTCTGGAGGTGGACTGTGTCCCTGGTAAAAAAATGTCAGGCTCTGAGCCTGAGACAGGATGGTAGAGGTGAAGGTATAGATTGAGCTAGGAGCCTATTAAGTGTTGGCAGGAAATGTAGGAGGTGTGAAAACAGGTACACGTACACTGGCACACCAAGTTACTTGATCTGAAAGAAGAAGGCACATACAGCTTTCTGCACAAACTGTCCAAACGTGGCAAATAAAGAGGGGGCAGGTGGGCTTGCCATTTGCTCTCCAAACAGGAGACAAAAGTGAGGGAAAGCTTGTCTTGGGGAGCAACTAAACACAACCACCATCTCCGTCCTGTAGAGCTTCACCCCCTCCCTTGCCCATTTCAGGAGACACAAAGCTGTTGCTAAAACAAAGATATCTAAAGTCAAGGGAAGCATAGAGACAGAGTCAGAGCAGTTGCTGCTGCAGGAAAAGGATGAATATACTATCTCCCATTAAAGAGCAAAGAAACCTTTTTCCTTACCAGTTTACCATCATAGCCGCGTTGTTTTCTGCAATGAACGGCAGCTCCCCTCTCACCTTCATCATTACCAAGAAAAAGATCCAGAGGATGTACTGGGGCATCTCCTACAAGCTCGTCCTGCTCTTTAGAGCTAGACAACCATCCAGCCCAGGCAGTGAGTGCTCCCGCGTGTCAGCTCCAGGCTACTTCCAATTTGCAGCTTTGCCTGTGAAAGCTCCTTGTACTTCTCAGCCCAAGAAAACTGGACTTTTCAGATAAATCCCAAAGTTTCTGCCCAATAACAAGCCCCCTCCTGTATCTGAAGATTTAGGCTAATAAATACTTGTTCTCCAACTTCAAGATTTTATATTACTGTCCCAGGTTTCATCTAGGCTGGCTGGATTCTGATTGCAGGGTGGATCACTAAGAGCAGGACACAGATTGTAACTGGGGATTAGCAAAATACAAAAATCCGATTTTGCACAGGGAAAGCATCAGTCAGTGATGGATTTTCTGGACTTCATCAAGCTTGTAGGAGACCAGTAATCAGGGTTACTTATGAACGACAGTCTAAGGCATTTCTTCGTCCTATTAAATGGTTGAACGTGAGAAAGAAAAAGCAAATAGCAGAATCCCTTGTGATTCTGCTGATTTTGTAGGGAAGCCACTAAGTTTAGGTGTCTTCTCAGAAAAGATATCCTGGCACTCCTAATTAAGCAAGCAGTTTTGAAACTGGGAATGTTTTAGCCATGCCACAGAAAATAGCTATGACATGTGCCACCTGTTTGGGATTTTTTTGTGTGTGTGCTAGCATTCCCAAATGTCATTCCCCCAAAAGCGAAGATATTTGACTGCTCACACTGCTTCCAACAGGCCCAACATCTGTTGCATCCTGGTGGTGCAAGTGCTGAAAGCAATCAGATATGGGATTTAGGTCCAGGTGGATCTTGCTGCTTCCCACAAATGGTTGCCCAGTTCTGTTCCCCATACCCAGAATCTCTCATCGCTAGCTTAGGATCTGCAGTGCCGCAAAACAAAACAAAAACCCACTCTCTTATCTTCTGCCAGCTGGAGCCTGAGTTCTGAAAAACCCCAAAGTCTAGATAATAAAAGAAGCATTCAGCCCTTCATCTTGCACCAAACAAATCTGATTTTCCCTTGAGATAAATCTTTCTCAATAATCACTATAAAAAGGCCACAGGCATCTCTCTTGGGCCAAAATCTTCTGGATGTCAGTGTGGTGAGGGACTGCAGTGTCACAGACCAAACATCAGGGTCTTACCAGAAGAATTATTCATACAGCTGAGCCCAGGTATACTCACTAAACAAACAAGCCCGGGGACTGGTCCAGCCTCATTAAAATAGTGTACTGAATCCCAGCAAAATGGTGATGGAAGAATGCATATCTGGGGTTTTGGAAAATTTGTAAGTGTTATCTCCAGAACTAGTTAATCTAGATGCCAGAAAAATACTGTGGCAGCTTTTAAACTATTTTTAAACTCTGAAGACCACCAGCAGCACAGTAGCATAGCTCTGTGAAGAAATGCAGACATTACCACTCTAGGGCTTTTCATTAGTGCTAGATTTGCTATTAAAATTGGTTTGTGCAGTGATGAGTGGATCCCATCAGGAACAGGATTCTCTTTTTTAAGTGCTACATAAACCTATAACAGAAATTAGCTCTTCCTCAAGAAAGCTTATGGTCTAAGGATAAACACTGGCCTTACAGAATTAAATGGGAGCTTTGCCTCTCCAACAGAGTCAGAATTTTGTTCTATATAAACAAAACTCATGCAGCTTTTAGCTTTCCTTTAAGCCGTGGTCCTAGTGCATTGAAAATGAAGGTGTGTGGTTTTCTTAAGCCCTGAGTCTGCTGGAGGTAGCATTTCTAACGTAGGCATCTTTGAAAGGGACGGCACAGGAAATCAGAGAAGATACCTGTTGGAAGAAGAGCAAGTGCAAAATCAAGGTGATAATGTTGTTTCAGTGGAGACAAGCTTTGATAGGTTAAAGAAAATGGTAAGGTAAAAATCAGCTGTGGAGTGTCATAAAAATAGAGGCATTCATTTTCTGAATTTTTAAAAGGAAAAAAATGTTAATCCTGTCACTCTGCTGAAGCTGTGTAGATTTTTATTTTTTTTATTCCAAGCTCTAAAAGCATACTGTCAAAATCAATAATGCATATTGTCACTCCTTAGTGAGCAGGGAAACTGTGACTCAAACATAGCTCAGTGCAGTAGCAACTCAGAAACAGATTACAGGCACAGAGACCCTCCTACTTCTGGCATATTTTATGCTCTTAAATAAAGAGCAAGTGGGGTTCCCTCTGAGACCACAGCAGTTTCAGCATCCCTGGTTCAAAATTACACTAAGTGGAAGAGAATTAAACATTGCTTCACAGGGATTTCCTCCGCAGTTTCACAGCATTCCCTGTCCATCTCCACATCTCTCTTCAGGGAACTGTCTCACCAGAAAATCAGACTCCAGAAGAAAGTCATAAAGGTTGAGGCAGGTTGTCAGGTTATGATATTTCTGTGCTGTTCCAGTCTTCCAGTCTAAAATCCTCAGCACGAAAAAGGTCTGTAAACTTAATCCAAAATAACAGATGTCCTCTAGCATAACATATCAGTGGAGCTATACCTGCAAAAGCCCTTTCAGTGTAGACCTGTTCTCTGCTAATGAGCCATATTGTGACTTAGAAATAATCTGCCAAATCTAACAATGCTGGCCACAGCTCAACTGGGCTATTTTCTGAAGGCAGAATCTGTCTGTTATTTATTTTCCTTTTGTGGAGAGTTTATAGAGAATAACAGTTAAGTCTTGCAGCAGAGGTTATAGCTGTATTTGTTTTATTCTTGGAGGACAATATATCTTTTGGAACAGGTATTACTCTGATTCATCAGTACCCAGCTGAATGATGCATGCTTTTAAATTCATTTTATATCAGTGTGAGTGGAGATCTGGGAGGGCTTGAAGGGGTTGGTTGTTTTTTATTCTTAAATTATTATTTTTCATCTTAGTTTTCTTAGATAAATAGCTCTGGTTTTAGCTAGGAAGAGTTTGGCTTTGGGAAGCAGTCACCATCAATAAATAGCCTGCAATAACAATGATATGGTTTTACAGGAACAATCTGAAAGAACCAGTTAAGTTTGAGTTTTTAATGAGACACTAGGGAAGATGACAGCTGGTCTGTCGATTTTGGAGTGGATCATTTTAGGCTGTTACTGAAATTCAGGGGACCTGACAAAAGCCAGATTAAGGCAATGCTGTGAATTTGGCATATAAAAAAAGACATGGAATTTAGCACTGCTGTGGCAGCTTGCAGTAAATTATCCATGCAGGCAATAAAATATTCATTGCACAAATGAACTCCACGCAGGCAATAAAATATTCATTGCACAAATGAAAAAAGACGTGGCACAGTGTCAATCCAGCAACAGGTTACCTTTCCAAGGGCTAAGGTGTACCAAATTCTAGGACACCTGCATGCACCAGAGGGATTATTTATTTTTTTTCTGGAGGAGTCATTTGATGAGTTTGGGTATTCAGATCAACTCACCTGGATCCACGTGCAAAGCTGGAATTTTTGCTGCACTGGGACAGGCAGTCCCTAAAGTGTGGTGCAGAAGGAGTGTCTGGGCCGGTTCTCATTCTTGGAAACTGATGGCTTGGCCAGTCAACAGTTGCCCTAATGACGTTAAGTCCTGCTGCTAAATCAGGCTTCTAAGAGTGGATGGCCTTAAACATGACTCTGGTAAGATAGTTTGGAGGACTGAGTCAAAAACAGGCAGGACTGAGGCATTTCCAGTAACTCAGATTTTTAAGCGTGTGAACATCAAGACGTCCCAAATGCATAAAAGGTCTGCAGCTTCTCAGTGCAGTAGGAACAGTCAGTCATTGTCTTCAGCTTTTGGGGACTGAATGAAAAGACTAGGATGATCTAGCAGCACCTCTGTCTCAAGTTCTGGTTTTCCAAACATTCTTAATGCACTTAAGAATGGCTGAATGGTATTCTCAAGTGGGGGAGGGGTGGGAAGGGGGGGAGCTGGCCTGCTTAAGTCCCTAAATCAGTAATCTCCTTATTTTACCCCCATATATATCTTTTTCTTCTTCTATAGGTGAATATACCATTATGACAGCCCATTTTCATCTGAAAAGAAAAATTGGTTATTTCGTCATCCAGACGTACCTTCCTTGCATTATGACTGTAATCTTATCACAAGTGTCATTTTGGCTAAACAGAGAATCTGTCCCTGCTAGGACTGTCTTTGGTGAGTATCCCACTTTTTCCCAGCATGCAGGAAGGATCAGTCTGGCTCAGGGAAGTGATTTGCTGTAACAAGATAACAGTGCACTAATGCTTGTTTCTGCTTGAGATATTGTAATTCTTCTCCAGTTTAAATTCAAAATTCATTTAAAAACACTGTATGGGCTTTGTTAGGAAAGTTATGACAGAACTTACTCAAGAATCAGTTATATGAAGGTTAAGGACAGAAGACAGAAGAATAAGAATGGTGTGATTTGGGTTTTTTTATTCCACCCAGGTAAAACACTCGAGGGCTTAGGGCAAAAAAAATCCATACATGTTCTCATACTTAGAGTATATTCTAGCTAAGAATTTGCAATGGATTTCACTTCAAGACATTTTGTTTATTTCTGGTTTTAAGATGTTTATCTGGGAAAACCATGTGGAGGCTAATTAGTGACAATTATCTCTATTAGCATCAAACAAATTAATATGATTTTGCATTTAGAAAATGTATCTTCACTACAGAAGTTGTCATGGAAAAATCCTTTGGGATCTCTTAAATTACTCAACTTAGCATGAGAAGGTTGCAGAAAATAAACACAGTCTTAAGGGAAGGTTGATGAAATACAAAATTTTTGCTAGATGAAAAACAAAGGGAGTGAGAACAGTTTATTATGTTAAACTTTGTTCAGCTGCTCTCCAAAGAGTCATTCTTCTGTACAGAGCTACTGAAATCACTTGACAGCCTTGATCAAAAATGAGTTCAGGAAGCTGTATGGGGAGAATGCAGGTACCATTGCTGACTGGTTGGTGCCTGTTCTAGGTTTACAAAGCTGTAGCTGAGAGTTGAATGTTGTCCTATTGAGGACATCCTTCCACAGATGACAGCAGTGGCAGCCATTTCATTTACTGTTCTATGGGAAAGGAGGACCTACAGTCCAGAAAATCAGTAACAGCCAATAATTTCATACATAAAATCTCCATGTCAGAAACTGAAATCCACAGTCCCACTGTATCATGCAAGTTAGGGCCAGATGGGCTGTTCACTGATTTTACGTGTACTGCTTCATGAGGGACACTCCATACACACCATGCAGTGGTGTGCAGGGGTAAAATACCAGTAAGGCTTTGATTGATGCGTTTGTGTTACTCTGAAAAATACTTAGTTATACACTATATCTCAAGATAACCAGAATACCACAAAAGTAAATGACTGAGGGCAGAGCCTTGTATTTCTGTTGGGTAAGCAAAGTGTCTTACTCTTCTGGACCACAGTATGCTAACACTGACTGACTTCTTATGGCCTGCTTAGGTATCATGCTGAATTGGGGCCTGCTCATAACTTGTTAGGGAACTCATAAGGACTACCAAACTTACTTTTGCCTCTTTTCTTTTTGTTGGGTTTTCTCCTCCTTTACAGGAGTAACAACAGTCCTCACCATGACCACCTTAAGTATTAGTGCCCGTAACTCTTTGCCAAAAGTGGCCTACGCGACTGCAATGGACTGGTTTATAGCTGTCTGCTATGCCTTTGTATTTTCTGCATTGATTGAATTTGCAACAGTCAACTATTTTACCAAGAGGAGTTGGGCATGGGATGGCAAAAAAGCCCTGGAAGCTGCTAAAATCAAGGTGCTTACCTCACATTTTTTTAAATACCCAGAATAAAAAGTCATTATTCAGCGTAGCTCAAATAACCAAATGGACAATTTTTAGCTGGTTCATTAAAGAGGTATTTAATTACCTCACAACATACTTCCACTTTCCTAGAGAGGAATATCTGCAAGGGAAGGTGTCACCTTTTCGTGGAGATAGACTATCAGAGTCCACCATCTGTATGGAGTGGACTGTTTTCAGAAGGATATAGGGCTCTGACTACGTGTGCCATGGGATTAGAGTGATCAAACTTCTGATAATAGTGGGCATGTACTATGAAATCTATCTCTGCAGAGCACTCCCTATGCACTCTCCCAAATCAATGACAAAGCCCACATAGGGCTCCATGAGTCAAGGTCCCACCACAGTATCCGAAATAAAAAAGAGACAAGAGAGAAATTCTGTGACACACCAACTTCTGAGTTTCAAGCTGAAATTACAATTTTGGAACAGGACTGACCCTGAGCAAATTATCTCCTAGAGAGAGCTCATACCTGCAGGCAACCTGAAGGAGCAATATGAAGAGGAGAAGCTAGCAGGGGCAACAAGCCCTTCACAAAACTTCTTGCTGAAGGCTGGAGGGTGAGGTTCATGTCTTGGCAGGTGCCCCCCGGGCAG